CCCAGCACCTCACATGTGCAAGGCAAGCACTCTACCACTGAGTTACAACCCCAGAAGTGGTTTCGTATGTGGAACATCAGACTTACCAGTAGAAACAGAACTATTTCATTTTTATTTATGTATATTTTGATCGTATATAATATTGGGGCCTATATAATGATTATGTCCATTGTTTTTTAATTTATTTTAATAGATCTACTTCTTTTAAATATTTTTAATATTTTTTCCTTTCAATGAACAAAAGTTTGGCTCATATTATTTAATTAAACTTTTTTCTCTTTTACTTTTTAATGAAGGGAAGAAATAGCAGAACCTGTGCCAAGGCGTGAGTTGGGAGAATGGGTCACTGTAAGAGCCAGTTATTTCAGAATTTAGAAAGACAGGACTACAAAGTAGACACAGAATGAACTCTACTAACCATCTCTTAGTCACATAAATCAGTGTTTTCCAAACTTTGGATTTCATTCTTGGACCAGAGCAGAGGAGAAATCTTGAGAGTGCCTTTGGTCCATGAACCCAAATATATCTAAGGTCTGATTCAAAAACTACGATGTTGCCTTGTGCCCACAATACAGAAAAGTCTTTTAAGTCAATCATAATCTAAGATAAATTTTGTCTGATAGTCCCAAATGAAATGATTGGACATACTCAAGCTATTTTATGAAAATTTAGCAAAAATTAAAAACTTATTTTGTAAGTAATCTTTATCAGAAGTTATATAAATTAATATATTTTAATATTCAATCCAACAAAGTTGAGGTAAATAAATAATAAAGTAGGATATATCAATTTAAAAATGTTATATAATAATAATTTATAATTATAATAAAATAAATCATTATACATTTAATAACAGTATGTTTAGGGTACTATACTAAACACTACAATAAAAGCAAAATGTTTTATGAAATTTGGAGAAATTATGATTTCCTGATTCTCCAAGGTATATGTACTTCAATTATATTTCATTCAATTGTTCACAGTTCTATAGACATAAAAATGTTTTTCATAAATGTAAATTTATAAAATATTAAACAGTCTAGTGATGATGTTGAGAGCCACAGCCAAAGGGGCCCCAGCAAACTTCCAGCTGCCAGCAGTCTAGAAATGATGATACATGTGAAGATAACATACTAGAAGAAAAATATTTAGGACAAAAATTAAAAGGCACAGTGAAATTTCATAGGTGCTACAAGTTTACTTTTATATAAAACATAAATACCTCCAAATAAAATTTATGATTGAGGTTTAATAAAGTGCTATTATCTTTTTGAGGAAGAATCCAATATATTAATAAATTTTAAGAACTGTTCATTTAAAAAAATAAAACATACTTCAAAAAAATCAAAATTTCAATTAATAATAATTGTTTTGTTGAAACAACTGATATGAAAAAAGGTAGGTTTTTTACTTTTAATAGTTGACAAAGCATAAAATTTAAAGTCAGAAAAACATTAGTATAAATGCCAACATTGTTATTGGGTAGTATCATTATGGCCTTGGGCAGGTCAATAATCTTTCCTCATTTGTAAAATAAACCAATTCCTATATTGTATCATTACTGGAAAGAGAAATGAGTACATGTGTATATTTGTGTATTATTCAATAAATAATAACTTTTAATTATACTGTCAATTTATGAATGCACTCAGTTACTAATGTCTATTTTTAAGGATACTGAAGTTAAAAGCATATTATTCCTCCATTTATTCCTATACTTTTCTCACTTATTCTCATAACAATTGTTTTGAGATATTCTATACTCACTTCATTAATCTGTTGTCACACAGCCACAGCTGGAAGTATAGGATTTACAGTTAGATTTGTCCAACTTCAAACCAGTGTTCCTAAGCACTAGTCTAATATATATTTTCCAAATGGGTTGGAACTAAATAGACCTTGAATGTCAAGCAAAGAAAAATTTGTCCTTAATAGAAATTAAGAAAGCAGAATATTCTGAGTATGGGAGATTATATATATATATATATATATATATATATATATGTATATATATTGTTTTTACTTATAGTATGCCTTTTATTTTATTTTTATATGTGCTGAGGATCAAACCCGGGGCCATGCACAGGCTAGGCAAGTGCTCTACTGCAGAGCCACAACCCCAGGCCCTATGCTACCTTTTGATGTACTGGTTTTCAAAATAAAAATCTAAGGACATTTCTTGAAATAAAAAAAGAAAAAGAGAAATTACGTGGTTAAGAATAATTACATCAAAACTTTTACCATTTTTAAGACACACAAGTTACATCTTGTTATTTCTTCCAATACACTTAGTTTATAAAAGAAAAATTTTCCTTTTCCTCATGATATTAAAAATACCAAAAAAATGTAATAGTCATGCCATAAAAAGCAAATGGTATATCAGTAAGGCAGAAAAAAAATTCAAATTGTTAATGCTTTGCCCTTGGTCACATCTATGACTCTAAGATATCAAATAAATTGCCAGAAGTCACCAAATGTTGCTATATCAACCTAAGTACTAGAGCCTGACCATGTCACAATGGACAGGGTTAATGATTCATCCCTAATCTTAAAGGCTCCTTCCAGGATTAATTTACTTTCGGTGCAGCCAGCCTGCCCACCCCTTGCAGATCCTGTCCAGAGGATTTCTCTGTATTGCTTTGCCTCTTTTCACATATCTTTCTAGTTCAAACACTATCTGATCTCTACTCTACTTACACAATTTGGAAGGAATCAAATTCAGTAAAAATCAGGCTAAACGGAGTCAACTGTGAAATAACTCTGACTAGGTTAGAAGGAGAGGACCAATTTTATCTTTTTAATCTGTGATTTTATTTCTCCTGCCCAGGCCACAATGCTGTTAACATTAGTTGAAATAACTTAAATTAGCATTAATTGATAATCTATCATTATCAGGCGACAGAAAGAATATAAACCTGAATTAGACAGAGTCCCAGTCCTTGAAATACTTAATATCTGCTCAGAGGTTGAGATAAGTTAATGTCGCATTAAAATAGATACCAAAAACAAAAACAAAAGCAAAAAATCTGTAATGAGGATGCAAAGAGCCTACAATAAATCAATAGATTAAGAAAACATTTGAAAAAGAGAGTTCATGAGGCATTCATTTAAATGGGTAAGATTTCAACATACACATAGGAGAAAGGGCCTTCTGAGTGAGGGAACAGTTGGAGTGAAGCAAAGGGTAGTGGGGTGGGTGGGTAAGAATCAAGTGAGAACAGAGGCCACATGCTGAAAACTGAGAAGTAAACGATAAAACAGGAAAATGGGTTAGAACTAAATAGACCTTGAATGTCAAGCGAAGAAAAATTTGTCCCTAATAGAAATTAAGAAAGCAGAATATTCTGAGTATGGAAGATATAATTGAATCTGAACTTTAGAAATTCAGTTTGGAGAAATCCTATTGAATGAACTAGAAAGACAGAGTCATAGTCAGGTTATAAAAGTGGGACTGAGGAGAGACAAGTTCAAGAGAATTTGAAAAGTAGGACTTATTTCTTGGCAAATAATTAGAGCTAAGCTAGCCAGTCAGGCACCCACTAAACACTTGTGGTTACTGAGCTCTTGAAATGCAGCCAGGTTTGAACTGAGGTGTACTAGCAGTGTAAAATATATACCAGATTTCAAAAACTTAGCATGAAACAAATGTAAAATATCTCCTTAGTTATGATTACATGGTAAAATGAAAACATTGTGGATATGTGGGTTAAATAAAACTTCATTGAAATTAATTTCATCTGTTCCTTTTTACTTTTTTTAATGTGGCTACTAGCAACATTTCAATTAGATATATGAATATTCTGTGGCTCAGCACCGGACTAGAATCACATAACTAGACATTGTAACAGGAGACAGTGGACAAGCAAAAAGTGATAGAAGGGGAATTGGGTAGTGCCATGACAGAGAGGACAGAGGGAAAGTTTCTGTATTTACTTATTTTAAGAGGGCATTAGCAATATATGATTACACGACCTGTGTAAGCCTACATCATGTACAACCAGACGAATGAGAAGTTATACTGCATTTATATATGATGTGTCAAAATTTTTCTACTGTCATGTATAACTAATTAAAACAAATGAAAAAAAAGTCATGTAAATTTTTTTTAAAAAAGAAGGCATTAGCAACAAGGACAAAGACTAGGCAAGAGTAAAGGTTAAGATGAGTAGGAGTGAAAATGAGCCATTGGATTTTTGTTCTGGTAAAATGGACTAGGACAGAGGAATATGACCAGTAGTAAGACAAGTGAGGTGATACTCTTTCAAGAAATAATAAAGAAAAATAATAATAGAGAAATGGCAAAGGGTATAGAAGTTCTGAGATGATTTTTTTCCAGTGTAAAAAGATCTCTACATGCTTACATTTACAAGAAAGGATAAAATGGAAAACACAGTGAACAGAGGGAATAACCAAAGAACAAGAACCTGCAACTAGGATTTTATAGCAAAAGCCATAAAAGAAATAAAAAGCTAAAGATACAAAGATGGAGAATAGGTGACACTTTATCTTTGTATTCACATTAAGAGATGACCCAAGAGGCCATTTGTGCATGTCATTTGTCTTGAAGTGGAAAGGATATATTAAGAAATTTTGGTCTGGAAAGAAAGCTAGAGGAAGAGCATCACCTACACTGAGGGATGTTCTTTCTACTGATAGTTTTTTCACCCCCTGGTTTTGACCTTGTATCTTTGGGAGCCTGTGGATTCCATTTAGTCACTATATTGAGTCATACATAACTCTTTTGTGACACTGGTTCTTTCAGTAAAGGCATCAATATTATGAAAATGATTCATCTAACTTTTTTTTAGAAGAATTAATAATATATTACGATTTTTATTATAATATTATTTCTAAATGTTATAAATCTACTTTTTTGTGTTAGAGTTTGTAAAAGTCTGCTTCATTAAAAAGTAAATACCTGGTTCTACCACTGGTAAAGACAATATTTATTTTACATCTTCATGTAAAAGGGAAGAATCTATAGTTCACCTATATCTTACTTTGAATGGCCTCTTGTTCCAAGCCGCCGTGTGGTTAGGAGGGGAAATTTCTGGCGAATTGTCTAAAAGGGTAGAAAAGTACTTTAGTTTTTAAAAAGTTTGGGGTTTCTAATGCAAGCCACTCATAACCAATTAATTCAAGGAAGTAAATGCTGAACTCCAAGGGAGCTACAAGTTAATATATACTCTGGAAAAAGTAATATACATATTAATATACATCAATACATCAGAACAGGAAGATATTTTTTTAATTAAAATATTCTATTGCCCTTGTGTCAATTGCAAACGCAGATCCTGCCAGTACCTAGTTTTGCTTGAACTTACTACCAAAGTAATTATTACTTTCTTTGTGCACAGAGCAGGATGGTTTGGGTTTCTTTATAATAATTCCATCATCTAGGGAATTACCCACAATTAAATATCCATCGCAACACTGAAGAGACACCTGGATCTTATGAGATCTGTCTATGAAGTTCAGAGGGCTCCATGCCAAACTTTGTTATGTGTTAATTTCTTTGTTATGTATTAATTATGTATTCAGTTTTTATCAGATTCTCAGGGTGTGCCATGACCCTAGGTTAAGAATTATTGCTATAAGGCAGAATTACAAAATGGTAATGCTAACATGGATACTGTAAGTGGTCTTCCCAGTAACCTCCCCATTTTATAGGCTGAGTGAACTACATTTGCAAGATTAAGGGCTTTGCAGAAAGTTTCACAAGTTAGTCACCCTATTGGCCAGAACCTAGGCCACTGTATTAACATGTCCCATATCATACTTCTTCCATAAACAGATGGATTTTAAAAAAAAATTTATTTATTTTTTTTAAACTGAGGAGCTAGACCAGAGCATTCATTACTTTCTGGACAATGAGTCCCTCTATATGTTAGAATTTGGATTTCACTTTGTATTAGATATATAAGATCTGAAACCCAAAGCTCTTACAGTTTTTCTGTGATAGCTTAGTTCTCAGGAAACAGATCAAGATAAGGATCTCAAAGAACAAGTCTTTCCCAAAAGACTGTTTCCTGATTCTCAAAATGATATCAATGATATGTAAGTATAGTAATGTCAGTTCCATAGGTTCCTATTGAAACCATACAGAGTAGGCAAAAAGGAATGCTTTTAAATTAGAGAAATTTAACCAATCCCATCATAAAATCTTCACGTACCGGGTATACACATACTTCAAGTGAAATCAAGAGTTAGAAAAACTATTTAGGTATTGGAATACAATTCTATTAAAAACTCATGCTTAAACAACCTAAATAATAAAGACAACTGCTAATTGCATCAACATTTCCATTTAATTTTGCTTCTCCACACTAGCCATACCACACTCTTTGATGCATACTTCTTTGAAGGAAAATGCTACTGTTAAATGGAGCTTACTTGAAGTTTACATTAGATCTTTTGACAGCCAGGGTTCTAATAACTCAAAATCAAGGTATTACTATATAGCAATTTCAAACACAGTCCTTAAGAGATTTCACTTATGGTTGTAAAATGAATGTCTTAACATTTTCTAAAGGAACTTCCTCAGATAAATTTGTTCCCATATTGTCTATCAAACACAAAGTTAGTTGTAAGGTAGTATAATCAACATATGCCATTTACCTTTCCAAAGGTGGCAGCGCAAGCTGGCTCTAGTTTCTCTTTCCTGCAGAAATCTAAATAGTGTGCATATAGGATGCACCGAGGTAAGCAAACTCCTTCACACACAATGTAATTCTCTTCAAGCCTAAGGAAAAAGTAAAAGAATTAGGTCTACCTTTCTTTCTTTCTTTTTTTCCTAGCTTTTCTTTATTACTCCTTTTCTTTTTCCTTTCTCAATGACTTAATGCTTATTTTGAAAACAGACTATACAAATGAGTTAATGAGTAGATTTCCTTTATTTTGGATATTATTAAAAATCATATCAGGGTGAATATAATTAACAATAATTCACTATCTATCTCAGAATAGTTGTAAGAGAGGAATTTGAATGTACTCATCAAAAAAATGATAAAATATTAAGGTGATGAATATGTTAATTATCCTGAGTTATCACTACCATATGTACACACAAATCAAATCATCACATTATACCTCATAAATATGTACAATTATTATGTATAAACAAAAATTTTAATTGAGATTACCCTGCATGAGCCTGACCAATATAGTAAGCTCTAAAAAGAAGGCCTAGAGGTCAGAGACAGAAGACATAAAAATTCCAAAGTAGTAGCAAACTCCTGAAGATCTTGAAGAAGCATATTGTTATATTTTGAAGAGGGCCACCTCTCAGAGAATGATAGTAGTTAAAGTGCTATTCCTTAAAAAAAACCTGAGTTACTGATATTTTTAGAATTTTCATTTAAAGTTATAAATTATCTTGGTAGTATTAGAACTGGAAATCAGTGAAAAACTTGACTAACTTCAATTTTCACTATTAATTAGATATTTGATTTTATGTGTGCAAATTAATTTGTTTTGAAACACTGCATCTTGGTTAATAACACTTTAAATAATAACTAACAATAATAGGAGCTGAGGACTTCAGTTCAATAGGAGCAAGGAATAAATGCTCTGAAAAAAACAGTGAGATTTGAAGAAAACCCAGAGCCTCCGATGAGATTTCAGCAAGTGACTTCTTGATTTTAGCCTGGTGAGACAACAAACTGAGTAGCAAGATAACCCATCCTAGACTTCTAATCCACAGAAACTGTGAGATAATAAATTTGTGTGGCTTTAAGGCAAAAAAAAAACAACAACAACAATCAAATCACAAAGATTAATATTATAAGAGCAAGAACCCCAGTGAACATCTGCTAGTGCAATTAAAATATCACGGCTAATGTATAATCACTCCTACCTAGTCCACATTGCAAATATTAGGTCTTACTTCTATACAAATCACCTCTCTGTTCATCATGATTTACTCTTTGATATACAAATACCAGTGGCGAAATTGAAGATGACAGGTTTTTAAAAGAACATTCTCAACATGAAAGGGCTGCCAGACTTCAGGTTGGCAAATGCTTCTACTCCCTTACTTTCATTCACAAACTACTTCTGAATCCTGAACAGCCAGGGAAAGATTAGTGATGCAGTTGCTTGTGAAATTCATAAGGGTAAATTCAATTCCCTTAAGTCAGAAATAATACTGATCTATTCCATCCTTATACTTTTTAAATGTAACTAATACTATGATTATCTAAAACTCCAAGTGTTTTTGAAATATAATATAACTCTCAGTGGATATCTCTAAACATAACATACAATACATAAAATCTTATTATAAATATACATAAATATATATATATACATATATAGATAAAATTTACTTGTAATTCCCTTTGACTTGTAATTAACTGCATTTTTAAATAAATGCAATATGAATATATTGTGTTACGACTACCTGAACAGCAATCTAGAAATTAGAACTTCTAGATTCTATTCCAAGTTTTTCTAAAACTTCAATAGGTGATTTGGGGTTAAATTTACTAATGCCAAATTTATGTATAGCAAAATCACAATTATTTATAATACAATAACAATGAAATATTGAGTATGCATTGAGATTAATGTTGAGGATGAAATCCTTCAAGTTTTCTGATTTAACATATTTAAAATGTTTAAATAATTCTAATTTAAATATTTTAGAAAAAGTTCAAGGAGGTATTCCCTGAACAGATAAAGTATCAGAAACCAATTTTCCTATGAAGAATAAAAGAAGGAGAAGGAGGAGGAGGAGGAGGAGGAGGAGGAAGAGGAGGAAGAGGAAGAGGAGGAGGAGGAGGATCAAAAACTCCAAAACTAAGATGCAGTGTTTCAAAACAAATTAATTTGCACACATAAAATCAAATATCTAATTATCATTGAAAATTAAAGTTAGTCAGATTTTTCACTGATTTTCAGTTCTAATACTACCAAGATAATCTATAACCTTAAATGAAAATCTAAAAATATCAGTAACTCAGGTTTTTTTAAAGAATAACACTTTTTAGAATAGTTGAAAATTCAAATAAAAGGACAGTGCTTTACAGTTTTAAAAATATGCATATTTTTATGAGAACTATGTAGCTACTTGAAATTATATCTAATAACATATATATTATGACCACTTTCCATCTATTTTGATATTGTTGTAAGCACTATTTTGTCTTCAAAATACAGAGTAATCCTAGACATTAGTACAATAGTAATTTGGGGTAAGTTTAAATATGTTTTTAGTCACTCAATATGAACTGAAAAAATGAGAGTAATCATCAAAACACCTCCATAATATATCTGAAATCAAAACACTTTTGCCCCAATCATCCCAAATAACTGAAATAACTGTGAAAATAACTGTGTCTTAAACATTCTAGATAATTAGCTCAATTGTTTGCAGCTCTAGTATATTCTTAACTAGAAATCATGATATCAATTCCAGTAGTTAAAATATAACTTTAGAGGAATATATGGTCTATATTTCAAATGTTTAAAAGGGTACAAACAAATAATCACAGAAATTACAAATTGTAATTTAACATTTAAATAAATAAAAGTACAAATTGCTAGTATTTTTAAATTCTATTTTTTCTGTTGTGTTTTTCTAAGCCATATATATATATATATATATATATATATATATATATATATATATATACATACAGAGAGAGAGAGAGAGAGAGAGAGAGAGAGAGAAAGAGAGAGAGGTAGGTTACGTAACTAATCAGTAAAAAAGTAATATTTATATGTTTTATTGCTTGGAATTTGGGAGATAATTTATACCTCTATTTTTTTATACTATGCAGATAAGTACAATATTTATTTTTACTTTAGAGCTCTTCTTTTTAGGAAAATGTTCTCTATATGTAGAAAGTCTACTGATAAACTCCTGATTTTAAGAGATTTTGAACAAAATCCAACTTGTGATTTTTCACTATAATAAATCACATATGACAGGTGCTATAAAAATAGTTGAACATTTGTTTAAGTTAATAGTAATATCTTACCTGATTTTTCAGTCTTCTACTTCAAACACATTTGTCTATCTTAGGGCCAATATTATGTATTTGGGCAACATTAAAATCCTTCTATGTTTTAAGCTGTTTTTTAAGGATCATGTTTTATAAATTAAAAAAGAAAAACTGCCAAATAACAAATATATGAGGACTGAATAGATTGCATTTAAGTACATAAGTCATAAAAACCTTCATTGTTGCTTACATTTGAAGAAATTATCATTTTAGTCCATAATGTGGAGCAGCTGATGTTTCATCTGTACTAGAATTTATCTCCATGTTAAATGGTCAGTGAAAAAAAAATCTGATAAATTCCTATTCCGTCTTTTAAATTTGCCTACTCAAAGTTTCAGAGAGAAACAAATTGTGGAAACAACTTCAACAGGTGCATAAGTATACTCCTGGGGCCAGTCTTACCACTGCAGCGTGAGCTGAGTCTGCTTCTTTTTATCCTTCATAATCTGCGTGATGGTTTTCTTCTGAGAGACGTGTTGATCGGTTGCTTTTGTTTTGCTGTCGTGGTTATCTGCATCCTCTTCTTCAGAAGAAAAGTTACCGTTGCTTAAATGCATTTCTGATCGCAAGTTTAAGGAATGATAAAGGAGAGGAAAGGGATATACAATCAATTAAATTGCCTCTCAACGTTTGCCTCGAATGGGGTGCCTATAGGAAGGACAGAGGAGTTATGCAAAAATCCCTTAGATTAACAATATCTAGTGGACACTTTCCCTGGGGAAATATGATTTGGACAGAACATTATATGTGTATGCATTTTAAGGCGTGTTTATGTTTGTTATTGGATGTCCTTAGAATGCATCCTCGTACCTATCTCAGTGCGGGAGAAGACCGAGCACTCACCTGATTTAATTCCCCCCAGCAGCTCCGGGTCTTCCCCTTTCTCCAGGCTGCCCAGCTCGCCCCGAGGCTGCGCTTCAGCCACCAGGTAGGCTCTTTCCTCCGGGTAGACGAGCAAGTCCTTGTCCAGGAGCTGCACACAACACGCCTCCTGGATCTCGGGGGAGAGTTGGGGCGAAGGTTGAGCTTGCAGGAAGGCGTCCTCCAGCTCCCGGACCTTTGCCATGCTCCTGGCCGCGACACCTCGGCACCCTCAGCTCGGCCAGCTCCCCAGCTGAGCCCCAAGCCCGGGGCGGGGCGGGGCGGGGCTGGAGACCCGGGCCACCCGGGCGGGGGAGGAGGCCTATAGCTCCCCAGTCCCTGCACGTCAGAGCGGGGACCCTGCGGTGCACTGGTACAGTTCAGACAGCCCCTGGGTGGAGGCGGGTGGAGGCGGGACTGGCTTCCTCCACCTGCCTGCTGTCCCGGCAGATGCTTCCCTAAGAACTCACTTCCTCACCTGAGCCCGTCACGCCCAGAACTAGGGAGTCCCATTCCCCGCCCTACTTCCCCCTTCTCCTTCCCTTTCCCTCATTTTATGCTGACGCTGGGACGTATTTCACAACCCAAACTTCCAGAAAGAGCCCAGAAAGTTTCACTCCTCTCAGTGGGAAGAGGAGCTTCAACAGTCCCCACTCTTACTTTCAGGAGACCTAAACCTGGCACCTTGCTTGGCACCCTGCCAAGCGGCCTTCACTGTGCAAGCCTAGAGTACGTTTGCATCTTTGCACAGCTTGGATCCAGTGTATTTGTTCCCGGAATAATCTTAGGGGTCTGTGAGGACTTCAGTGATTTGCATCACAGCCCATCTGCCCGCGGATGCACAGGAGCTCTGACTTCTGGGCCTCATAGCCTTCTGAGGTGTGGCCCTGAGTTTAGAGGAAAAGGTACATCTGTTCCCACTTACAGCATTATGTAATTTAAACTCCCGTCCCTGACGATTTCTCATTCTCAGGCTTAACGGTACTGCGACCAACATTTGTTTAAGTGAAAAATGAAATCGCAATAATTTTCTACTTCAAAGTGACATAGGTGTGGCAGGTTAAAAACTTGTGTTCCATTTAAGCACAAGCACTCCACTGGGTGGAGAATTGAGGTCCTGTTGCCAGATTACACCCCAATCTCCCCTTCCTTCCATCCTCTGTTCTTTTGACAAATACACCCTGTCCCTAGTGATCTCTAGGAAAAGCACGGATCCTGCTTTGAATCACATTGCCTCATCACCCCTAACCTGTTTTCTTCTTCTGGAATGTTAGAGAAATCACCATTGAACTTTAATATTAATTGATCATATTGAAATTGAGCATAGAAAAAAAATGAGACCCAAGGTGGTGAGTGATTGAAGGTACAATCATGGAGAGGAGTAATACAGTCTAAGAGCATTGCTTTAACAAAACAGTTAAAATTTATGGCTAAATTTGAACCTCCAATTTTAGCATCACTTGTTGGGAAAGGCATCAATACTCTTTCAGAGATTTTCTCCTTACCTGGTACCTTTGGCTGCTGGGTTTGGTAGGGGCTACCCACTCACCAACACACCAAAAGCTCTTAGGCTATTCCTTCCCTAGGACACCCTTGTATTACCAGTGTCCATTCCCTGAAAGGCCCAGAGCTTGCTCAGTGCTAAAATTTAGAATGTTCCCCCTTTACAAAGACTCCTTCAGACTCATTATGTAAAGGAAGTCCTGGTGATTAATTTTGGGTACAGAAAAAAACTCTACCCACTTATATCACATAACCAGGAGAAAAATATTCAGGAAATGTATTGGAATTTCTTTTTTTTAAGTTTTTAAAAATATTGTGTGTGTATAAGTTACACAGACACTAGGTGAATATCTAGTAATTACCCAAATGAAGTGATTAATGAAAACACAAACCAAGATCATTTAAGACCCCAAGTAAACATTTGTGCCTTAATTTTAAGTGAACTATCTACCTAAAAAGTTACCATGAAACCTTTTTGTGCCTCTCTTCAAAACTAGGAAATCTGATTAGACATATAATAAGGGATTGAATCAGTAATCAATAAACTTCCAACATAAAAAGCCCAGGACAAGAAGCCTTCAATGGTGACTTACACTAAAATTTTAATGAATTAATGCCAACCTTCCCAAACTGATGGGATGCAGTGAAAGCAATGCTCAGGGGAGGGAAACAAAGTTGTCATCATCCAAGTTGCCATTTCTGTTATAGGGGTTGCCCCATTATCCACAGAAGATATCTTCTAAGACTCTCAGAAGATGCTTGAGACCATACTTAGTACCAAACCCTATATATGCTGTTTTTTCCTGCATGTCCTATGGCATTACCACATAACACCAGTTAATCTGTCTTCCTTTGTTTTATATCCTAGTGCCTCTTTTGCAGCATTACCCTTGAACTTTGGGGCCACAATTAAACAAAATAAGAGTTACTTGAACACAACACCACAGTACTGAAACAGTGGAGCTAATAACTCACACAGCCATTAAGTGACTAAAAGGCAGGTAGCATATTCACTGCAAGTATGCTAGATAAAGGGTGATTCTAGTCCCAGACGAGATGCACAGGGTTTCATTGTGCTACTCAAAACAGTGTGCATCTTAAAATTATTTCTGGAATTTTTCATTCAATATTTTGGAATTGAGATTTGCCATGGGTAACTGAAACTGCAGAAAGTGAAACCTTAAATAAGCAAAGATTACTGTTTTAGAGAAGTAATAGTGATAAGCAAGTCATTAGGTCCTAGGCAGGAAAAGAGGTAAAAATGGGCAAGGTATTTGAAAATAGCAATTCTTAAGATTTTGGTTTTTCAAAAAACCCAATCAATAAATGGGCAAAGGAATGGAACAGATACGTTACAGAAGTACAGTTAACCAACAAAAATATATGAAAAAAATGTTCAACATCACTAGCAATTAGAGAAATGCAAATTAAGACTACACTTCGATTCTCACTCCCATCAGAAATGGCAATAATCAAGAATACAAGTAACAATAGATGTTGGCATGGATGTGGGGGGGAAAGTACATTGCTGGTGGGACAGCAAATTGGAGCAACTGCTGTGGAAAGCAATATGGAGATTCCTCAGAAAACTTGGAATGGAACCACCACTTGACCCAGTTATCCCACTCCTCAGCATACTACAGTGATGCAGCCACATCAGTGTTTATAGCAGCTCATTTCACAATAGTTAAACTATGGAACCAACCTAGATGCCTTTCAACAGATGAATGGATAAAGAAAATGTGGTATATAAACACAACTGAATATTGCTCAGCCATAAAGAAGAATAAGCACTTGCTGGTAAATGGGTATGAACTAGAGACTACCATGCTAAATGAAATAAGCCAATTCCAAAAAACCAAAGGCCAAAAGTTCTCTCTGATGTGCAGATGCTAACACATAATAAAGGGGGGAAAATAGAAATTCATTGGGTTAGACAAAGGGGAATAAAGAGAAGGGCAGGAGGATGGGAATAAGAAAGACAGCAGATGAATCAGATATAACTTTCCTATATTCATATATGAATACACTACCAGTGTAACTCCATATGATATACAACCACAGGAATGGGAAGTTATATATATGTATAATATGTATAATATATATAAGTATAATATGTCAAAATACATTCTGATGTCACGCATATCTAAAAAGAACAAATAAAAAAAGAATTTTTTTATAGTCTCTTTAAAAATTTTATTTATGCCATTAACTTTATTCCCAGGGGGAAATGCGAATAAATATAGTCATGTTTTATGTTTATATAGTAAATATGTTTTATGTATACACAAATAAAATTCTGCACATAGTTTGACAGATCTACCAGAATACCTGTAAAAGTTGATTCTGTTTTAAGAAAAACATGATAAAATAAATAAATAAATAGATAAATATTACCAAAATAAAGAAAAACATGATATCTAAAGAGATTTTAGGAAGTTCCCGAATGACAGTATCTTCATGCCTGGAGGCCTTCAGTTAAAGAGGAAAAGGAAAATAATTTGGAATCAGATGCATTTGGACTCATTCTCCTAATGGGAACTTAACCTTTCTATAACTTAAATTGGAAGAAATAGCATCTATTTGTGTTTTTTATTTTTATTTTTTTATTTTTTAGATATACATGACAGTAGAGTGTATTTTGACATATTACGCTTACATAGAGTATGACTTCCCATTCTTTTGGTTGTAGATGATATGGAGTTACACCGGTTGTATATTCATACATGAACATAGGAGAGTTATGTCTGATTCATTCTACTGTCTTTCCTATTCCCATTCTCCCTTCCTTCATTCCCCTTTCTCTAATCCAATGAACTTCTATTCTTCCCTCCCCACCCCTTGTTGTGTGTTAGCATCTGCATATTAAAAAGAACTTTTGACTATGATTTTTTTGGGTTTGGCTTATTTCGCTTAGCATGATAGTCTCCAGATCTATGCATCATAATTTTATTCTTCTTTTTTTTTTGAGAGAGAGAGAGAGAGACAGAGAGAGAGAGAGAGAGAGAGAGAGAGAGAGAGAGAGAATTTTTAATATTTATTTTTTAGTTTTCGGTGGACACAACATCTTTATATTATTTTTATGTGATGCTGAGGATCGAACCCAGCGCCCCGCGCATGCCAGGCGAGCGCACTACCGCTTGAGCCACATCCTCAGCCCCAATTTTATTCTTCTTTATGGCTGAGCAATATTCAATTGTGTATATATATCACATTTTCTTCATCCATTCATCTAGGTTGGTTCCATAGTTTAACTATTGTGAAGTGAGCTGCTATAAACATTGATGTGGCTGCATGGCTGTAGTATGCTGATCTTAAATCCTTTGGGTATAAACTGAGGAGTGGGATAACTGGGTCAAATGGTGGTTCCATTCCAAGATTTCTGAATAATCTCCATATTGCTTTCCACAGCAGTTGCTCTAATTTGCAGTCCCAACAGCAATGTGTAAATAAACCTTTCCCCCTCACATCCTTCCGAACATCTATTGTTACTTGTATTCTTGAAATTGCCATTCCAACTGGAATGAGATGGAATCTCAGGGTAGTCTTAATTTGCATTTTCTTAATTGCTGGAGATGTTAAGCTTTTTTTTCATATATTTGCTGACCATTTATTTTCTTCTTCTAGGAAGTACCTGCTCAGTTCCTTTGCCAATTTATTGATCTGTTATATTGGTGTTAATTTGGGTTCTTTGTATATCCTGGAGATTAATGCTTTATCTGAGATGCAGTGGCAAAGATTTTCTCCCATTCTGTAAGCTCCCTCTTCATGTTCTTGATTGTTTCCTTTGCTATGAAGAAGCTTTTTAGTATGATACCATTCCATTTATTGATTCTTGATTTTACTTCTGTGCTTTAGGAGTCTTGTTGAGGAAGTCAACAAGTTCCTAAGCCAACATATGGAGTGTTGAGCCACCATTTTCTTCTAGTAGGCACAGGGTGTCTAGT